TTTGTGGAAATAATCTGGCAGGAGGTTGGGGTAGCCAATTCTCTTCATTCTCCAAGCTGGCAGTGTTTATGCCAATATAATTCTTCAAAAAACTTTGCAGGTCTCCTGTGGACCCAGTAAGTTGGGTCCACACCACAAACCCACACATCTCTTTGAGATAAGCCCTTCTCTGCCTTGAGATTCTCCTGAAAATCACATCCTTCAGTTTCTTAGAAGCCCTATTGTTTGAGCGAGAGAATCTGTGAGGCAACCTTAAAAATTTTAGTAGAACTTTTGTCTGACTGAATGGTACTCAGAAGCATCACCGGCAGTCTTTCTGAGGTCTTAACAACGGATTTAACAATTACATCCTTGGGTTCACCTTTAGATCATGTTTTCCTGGAAATGTCCTTTTCTGTGTCCTTTTGGATTTAATCTTTGCTACAAATCATTTCTTAGGTTAAACATCATTTGTCATCTAAGACGCTAGGAATTTTCAAAACCATAAAGTCCTGGTTCCTTTTTGTTTAACTGTCCTTATTTCAGCTTATCTATGTCCTCTTGCATTTTACTATAAGCAGCAAGAAGCAAGCAGTATCTTTAGTACCGTCAACACTCTGTATAAAAATCTCCTTAGTTTCATCACCCAGTTCATTACGTACCCTCTCTACTTCCCACCTTACTTCAGGTGACAGTATGGCTACACTTCCTGCTATTACATAACAAGGAGATGTTTCAATTTCCAAAGTGTTTACTTCATTTTCCTGCAAGCCTTTACTCACCAGCTCCTCAAAGTGCATGAGGCTTCTGCTAACAGTTTCTTCAAAGCTCTTCAAGTTTTCAGTAACACTGTCCTCAAAGTTCCTCTAGCTTCAACCCACTACCCAGTCCTCCTGCTCCCTTCCACATTTCAAGTTCTTGTCATAGCTGCATCGCACTTCCAGGCATTAAAATCTATATTGTTCTTCTATCGCTGCATAACAAATAATCCCTAAACTTAATGGCTTAACACAAGAATCATTAGAGTCAGGAATTCAGAAGCAACTTAGTTGGGTGGTTGTGGCTCAGGATCTCTCATGTCAGGATGTTGGTTGGGCTTCCACTCTCATCTGAAGTTTTCATGGGGCTGGAAGTTCCACTTCCAAGATGGCTCATTCACATGACTGTTTGCAGAAGACTCCCATTCCTTTCCTTGTGGGTCTTTCCATAGGTAGGATGGGTGTCCTCACAACATAACAGCTGGTCTCTCCCAGAGCAAATGATCCAAGTGAGAACAAGGAGGAAGCCACATTGTCTTTTGTGATTTAGTCTCAGAAATCACATGTCATTACTTCTTCCACATTCTGCTGCTAATAATCAAGTCTAGATACAGCCCATGCTCAGGGGGAAAGGAGTTAACACACCACATTTTGAAGAGAGGAGCATCAAATAATTTGTGAACATTTTAAAAATAAACACAGACCCCCCCCCCTCAAATCAGGGACTCTCTAAAGGACTTTCTAAAGAATTTCATGTCTTGCAGCTGTTGAACTGAGAGAGGAAGAGGGGGGAAATTGGACCCTTTTAATTTGCTGACTTAAAATATCATTTGAATCCACAGCTTTGCCAGATCTCTTTGGTGAAGATAGAGCATTCCTTGGGAAAGAGTGACCCTGAATGCTAAAATGTGAACACATGGAAAGATTCCGATGGCTTCTAGTTCCCTGAGCTCCCAAACCTGTGGAAATACACTATTCAGATCTCCTGCTGCATGGAGTATGACTGCCTGACACTCAGCAGCTGCCCACCCTTGCACCGAGGCCGTGCTCCCGGGCTGCTCCCAATGGGGGAGCACGTGAAGTACCAAGGCAGGCCAGTTTTGGCAAGATGTGAGAATCCACCTTTGGCAACTTTGCCTTGAAGACTCCCCATTGGCCTGGCCACACCTTTATTTGAATTGTGCTGCAGCTCAAGATTCTTCCTCCCCCAATCCTCCTGCCTTCCCTCTCTCCTTCCACTGGCATTACACATGAATCATAATCTAAAGCCTCTCCCTATGTTCTCCTGATCCCTCTCCCCCCTTGAACTTCTAATCCCGTTGTATCATCTGTTCCTTGGCAGACCTAAACTAATGCAGCCTTCCTCGTCAGACAAATTTTCCCTATTCCCCTGTGTGTGAGGCTTTTCTCATCCTGCACGAAGACTCTGTAATGACCTTAGTGGACATAATCTGTCAGGAGGTTGGGGTAGCCAATTCTCTTCATTCTTCACCCCTAACATCTTTCCTAGCCTTGAATCATGCCATCAGTAATGTGCTAGAGACAGTCTGTACCAGATCACAAAAGTCAATTGAGAAATTTTCAGGAATTTCGTGAGCTGGTTGGTAAACACAGTCATTATTAAAACTTAAATGTACTTATAAATAAATTACATTAACAACAAAGGTAATAAAAACTCAAAAACTTATCACTCTCTAGTTATTAACAATATTTTATTAGTATCTATGCTCTTGAAGTTACTTACATCTCTTATGTCTGGGTATTGGAAATAATATATAATGGTGTGCTGCTTGCACTTCTCTTTGGAGTTTGAAGACCAGATTTAGATGTGCTGTTTCAGCTCATTTCTTCAGCCAGCTGAGAGGTGACAGCTTTGAGGGCAGCTTGAAGCAAGAGAAGGCTTGTAGCCGGTCCAGGAAGCTCTGCCCTCTGATCCAATGAATCCAGTGTACTTGAAACACCTGTGGCAGATTGGGCTGCTGCATGGAGCTTTGGCACGTCCAGGAAGGCAAAGCAGAGCACAGGCCCCCAGGGTTTTGCAGCCCAGCCGTGAACTCTGTGGCATATAACTGTTCTCCTTTTGAGAGGCCAATCTTGGTTTGTTGCTTGGCACCAATAAATACAGCAGCCTGATCATGAGGCATTAGGTAACCAAGCGACTGATGCCCTTTGTAAACTCAGGGTCATCTGATCCATCCAAGCCATAAAGTCAGCTAACATTTAGTGTGTCTGAACAGTGTGCCAGGCACTGTTCCATGAACTTTACTTGTAACATTTCTTTTCATCTTCACCACAATTCTGGGAGGCAGTTCTGTTATTATTGCTATTATCCCTGCTTCGGCTGAGAAAACCGATACAGAGAGAGGATAAGTGATTTGCCACCTAGTCATATAGCTCATAAGTAGCAGAGCTTGGTTTGAACCCGGACCCTCTGGCCCCAAAGTCCACATGTTCAATTACCAAATTATATGGCCTCTTGTGATCGAGTGGAAGTTCTCCGTATAAGATTGGGCTTGAGCAGAAATTGAAGACACAACAGATTGCATGGTGTGCTCAGTCCTCGCATACTGCTGCTTTTCCTCCACCTACACATCTGACCCAGGGATGCTCGCGAAGTCCAGAGGACTGAACAGACAACCTGCACAAGATGATGGCAGTGCCACAAGTGGATGCCACAACACTCTAGTCCAACTCAAGGCTGGCCCTGAAGAACAACTGAGGAGAATTCTCTAGTAGGCAGAATTTTTAACATTTCATCCTGTTGACCACTTTGTCTGAAAGGAGACATGGCCTGAGGTGCATATGTCACCTGTACTGGACAGTAACTGATGGTTTAGCTGGGTGGCCAGACTGGGAAGGTCACGAATGCAAGGCTGATGGTAACAAAGATGTCTGGGGAAGAGGCATTCAGGGGATCTCTCAGAACGGATCCTCTAGAGTATGAAGATATGTGGTTCTTCATGAATACCTGCCGAAGGTCTCCACTGTAGAGGAAGCGCTCAATAATCACATAAAAAGGCTAACCTAGCCTTAGCATGTCAGCCTACATCTTTCCCCATGCACTCCAACGGTGCCTAGTGATCTCATGAACAAAGTGGGCATGTGCGATGCGTTGAAAACATCAAGGAATTCTGAGAAAAGTGGTTTTACTGGAATAGTTACTTTTTCTGGATTTGGATTTGTGTTCCTGTTTAACAAACCTCTGGCCACACCAACATTCATAGATTTACTGAATGCTTTTTCACCACCATGGTATTCCACCCCACACTGGCTTTCACTAAGTAACTAATTTTACAGGAATGGGCTGACACTATTGGGTTCATGCTTCTATCATGTACTCCATCACCACAGAGGGCATGGCAAAGACTTGTTTCCAGCACAATTGCTATGTAGTCAGTCCAGCAGATTACTGAGATGAAATTGTGACAGACCCAGAGGATGAAAGGTCATCACCCAGAGATTTTGTATTTGAAGACAGATGCAGTCACTCACAAAACTTTGGGACTCAGCATTCTTTTCATAAATTCCCTTTTTGATTAAATTTTACAGAGTGGGTTTCATAGAGAAATGTCTAGAAGGATGTATTCCAGTGAGTGAAGAGTGGTTATTTCTGATTCTGTAGGAATTAGTCACAATTTCTATATTCTGTTAGTTTATATTTTCTGATTTTCCTAACATGGACATTAACCTTTTTAACAAGAAATAATTTTTGGAAAATTAATTTAAAAATATATATCATCTTGAATTTCCATTAAACTTTATGACTTATGACCTTATCTTTAGGTATACATTTATTATCAAGACTAACATGCCTAAAAAGGGAAAAAACTTGAGTAAGCTTTATTCAAAGTTAAAGAAAATAATATTCTAAAGAAAGAATAAAGGTGGTGTTCACTCAAGACCAGGGAAAATAATACTATGGGAAAATGCAATAGGGTAATTCTGCCTTTTTTTTTTTTAAGATTTTATTTTTAAGTAATCTCTATACCCAACATGGGGCTCAAACATGCAACTCTGAGATCAAGAGTCCCATGCTCCACCGACAGAGTCAGTCAGGTGCCCCAGAGTAATTCTGCTTTTATTTATGGTTTTATTTATTTTTTACAAATAGTTGATATAACTATGTAATACTGACAATGCTACAAAAGTGTGAGAAGACTATGTGTGACTATTGATCTCACCACTGATAGGATATATAAGATATTGATTAACAGAAGCAGACAGCCATTGTGAAATGTTTTTAAGTATTAAGTATGAACTTTATGGATGTTGCCAAGTCAAAGTTGTATGTTCATGAGACACTCATAAATTTTATTTAAGGTTTAAAATGAGACAGAGAAATAGCCAAGTATGTAGTAAATACAATTGGTCTAATCATCTTCCCAAGATTCTTCTATGCTTGAGTTATTTTACAGAAGTCTTATTACACTCACATTTATGTTCCTTCCTGATATACATCTTCTCAAGGAACTTAAAAAAAAAAAAGTAAACCTTCATTAGATTGGCAAACAAATATTGTACAGTCCTTCCTACAATCACTACCATACCCAAATTCACAATTTCACACTCTGACATATATCCTTCTAGTACTCAAAATCCCGTGTTGACAATTGGCCATGATAAATGTGGGACTTTGGAAGCTGTTTGTACAGCATCAGAAATACCTAAATCTAATTCCCATTTGTTCTGTGCCCAAGTCCAGCCCAGCTCAGCTCAGCAAAGTCTCGTGCTGCTCATCCCTTCTATTAAAAACCTGGGACCCATCTGTGTAGCAGATAGAATGAAGCTGACAGTAATGAATAGAGTAGATAATCCAGCAGCAGATACTAGAATGTGTATAAAGTACCTGTGCTCATGTAACATATATGAATGTGTATGTACAGAGTACACAGACCTCACGTGAATAAAAAGAGAATGAATGTTTATATGTGTGTGTGTATACACATATACGCATATATATTTAAATAATGACATATTGAAAACATACTATATATATTAAATACATTTCCTCCTCTCTTTTAGTTGAAATGTTATTGATAAAATAGAGGATATAGGATGTAAGAATAAAGGAAGAAAATATATTCCAGGGTTTTGAATGACAGGTGTTCTCAGAGGACTCAGCTGTAGTCAGGGGCATTATCTCTCTCTAGTTAATGCAACCAAAAGAGTGTAGCCGGTGTGTCAGGCATGCTTCTCTTTGCCCAAAATCGAACTAAATGTTCGTGAACAAAATGGATTAAACCAACAAGGAACAAATCAAAATTTTTTTAAAAAGTGTTCTGCCACTAAAAAAAGGTTAAGACAGACCTGAATTATTATAACAGCAAACAAGGAGATATATATATATCTCCTATATATATGGTCCTTGGCAAGAGGAATATATGTATACATTTATATATACACATATATCACATAATTATATTTATGCTCAAGTATATTTACATATGTTGTAAAACATATAATATGTGCAATTAGGTAATTAGATAAAACATATTAAACATAGGGGTGCTTGGGTGGCTCAGTCAGTGAGTATCCAACTCATTTTCAGCTCAGGTCATGATCTCGGGGTCGTGAGATGGAGCCCCGTGTCAGTGGGAATCTGCTTGGGATTCTCTTCCTCTCCCTCTGCCATTCATGGAAAAGAAGAAATCCAGTATTGCATTCCTGAACTTCATGTTGGCTGCACGGCTTCCTAAAGACACATGGGATGTGCACACAGAGGACACTGGATAAATGCATGACTCAATAGCTACAACTTTGGCAGCCTGGCTAGCTGGTTTCTTGCTGTGGTGACAGGGCTGGTCTGGGCACAGAACTCTAGGCTCTGAGGCCCTCCTGCTAAAAATGGTCTGCTCTGCCAGCCTCCCACCCCACCCATGTGGCACGTGGCCTTCCAAGCATGGCCACTCCACGTGGGAAGCAGCTGGGGCTAGCTTTACAAGTTAAGAGAGGGGAAACTACAGGGAGGTAAGAAAAAGTGGGGAAAACACAGAAGATACTGGTGGGCCCCTGGGAAGTGAACTTTTGCCCTGTTCTGTTTCCACACAAGGCTGACCCCATAGTACAACACTATTGCGAATCTCAATTCCATTTTGTCCTGACCCAAGCCGTAGCTCTTTGTCCTTAGGTGTGGAAGTAAAAGACACTCAAAGACTTTCTGGAGACTTCAGAGTGTTCGAGTGACAGAGTTTGCAAGGTACATGCCCTGCACATAGACCCCTTTTCACTTTGGTCCCATTAAGGCCAAATTCAAGGCAGGTAAGTGAATAGGAAGACAGCACCTCTGACAGCAGACACCAAATAGGCAGAACAAAAAAAGCAAAAGCCAAATCATATCTCTGGGCCTTTGTCTGGGGAAAAGCATGCCCTTTCTTCCAGGGGCCTGAGTCCTGGTATGAGAAGTACAGTTGACCCTTGAACAATATACTACAGGAGTTAGGGGCACCAGCCCCCCCCAATTGAAAATCCATGTATAAGTTTGACTCCCCAAAAACTTTACTAATAATCTATACTGTTGACCAGAAGCCTTACTGATAACATAAACAGTTGATTAACATGTATTTTGTATGTTATATATGTTATATACCATCTTCTTACATTAATGTAAGCTAGAGAAAAATGTTATTAGGAAAATCATAAGAGAAAATACATTTATAGTATTGTACTGTATTTATCCAAAAAAAAATTTTTTTTCACATGTAAGTGGACCTGCACAGTTAAAGCCAGTGGTGTTCAAGAGTCAACTGTATTTGGCTTTTGTTGGGGCACTGACCCTGTCCCATCAACACCTGTGAGCCCCTCAGCCAGTCTTTCTGAAAGGACGCTTTCACTCACACTTGGCATCCTGTAGCCTCTGCTTAGAATGAAATCCTTAAAGGCAGTGGTTCCATGAAGGTCTGCAAGTAACTCCTCCTAAAAGAGGATCCACATTAAAACAAAAACAAAGACAAAAAAAGACCCAGTCAGCTGTTAGAAGTTTGATTCCATACTTGTCCTAATAAAAGCAGTCGGTTCTTTATAAAGTACCTCATTTTAAATCACTTCCTTCTCATCTGGGAGTATATGTGTAGATAACGTTCACGAGTTGATGAGTATAAAAGGCTTTCAAAAGATGTCCAACTTTCTCTCCTTTCCCAACCCTTTTTTTTAACCCTTGTATTAAGGAGAAGCAACACTTTTTAGCAATTAGACAATTATTAAGCCCAGATGTCTGGAATCTAACCTATTTGAGATTAACAAGTATGATACTGTGATTTTTAATAAGACATATATGTTTGGTCTTCTTCCCGTTCCTGACACAGAGCTCCTAAAACCATTGCAATTCCCTAAGTGATAAGAGCCACAAAGGCAAAAGGAGAATTTGTTGTTATTCGTAACTAGCCCCTTTTAACCACAACAGAGATTATGTTAACAACGTGATTTTTGGAAAGCCCTTAGAGAGCCACAGGATGGGGTCTGGCTGCCTGAGGAAACAACCACGTGAGGAGAGGGTTGGAACTTTCAGCTCCATCCGGCAATCTCTGGCTGAATTAATCGCAGATGACCAATGATGTAATCAACCGTGCCTATGTATTAAAGCTGCCATAAAAGCCCAAAACGACAGGGTTCAGAGAGCTTCCAGGTTGGTGAATAGGTGGAGGTTTTGGGAAGGTGGTGTGCTCAGCGAGGGCACAGAAGCTCTGAACCCTTTTTCATATACCTTGCTCTGTGCATCTGGCTATTCCTGAGTTCTCTCCTTTTATAATAAACCCATAATCTCGTAAGTAAGCTGTTTTCCTGCGTTCTTCATGCAGATGACAGAACCCGAGGAGGAAGTGTGAGGACATCCTGGTCAGAAGCACGGGTGAGAACCTGATTTGCGATCAGCATCGGAAGTGGGGGCAGGGTTGTGAGACTGCGCCCTTACCCTGTCAGGTCTGATGCCAACTCCAGGTAGATGGTGGCAGACTTGAGTTAAATTGTAGTAGGACACCCAGCTGGTGTCTGGAGAATCAGACAATTGCTTGGTGTGGGGGAAAAAAATCCTGACACATTTGGTGACCAGAATTGAGACTAATAGAGCGAGAAACAGGAGCGTTTTTTTCACTTGACAATATATCCATAATTTTGAGATCTGTTAAAAAGGAACAGCAGGCCCAAAATGGAGTCAATTCTGTTAAGCCCCACCAAGATTTAATACCTAACCTAACTGTCGGTTCAGCCTGTCCCAGGAGTGGGATTTTAAACCAGTCCGTGTGGAGTTTCCTGATGAGCATTAGCGAGGTGCTCTGCAGAAGAACCACAGCCTTTCCCTCTAAGGAAGGTGACCTTGCCTACAATAAGCCTTTCTTTCTTTTGCTAATAACTTCCTTATCCCACCCCACTTCTGCCTATAAAAGCCTTCCATTTTATAAAAGTCCTTGGGACGCCTTTCTATTTGTTAGATGAACTGCTGCCAATTCAAGAATCATTGAATAAAGGCAATCAGATCCTCAGATTTACTTGGTTGAATTGTTGTTCTTTAACAGATTGGGTGGCAGCAGTGGGACCCAAGGAGACTTCCAGTGACTTTGGGGACAATATGAAACAGGCGTGGTGCCTGAGGACACTTTGAGTTCTCTTTCTTGCTGCTTCTGAGGACCACTGGGAACTTCCTCTTAGTTCTGAGCTCCACACTCTGCTTCAAGCTCCTGATCGGATTGGATCTCCACAGTCCCCCAGCCCATCGGAAACCCAAGCCCTTGGTTCGATCACCAGATCCGTGTTGGTGGCTCTAGCTCCCCACTCATTTGGGATCAGTCCATACCCCCCATTCTTTGGGGTCTGCTAGTTCAATCCTTTTTCTAATCTCCAGATTCCACACAGGGAACTGCTGGTTACTGGGTCCAACTTAAAAACCAGACTGGATTGGATTTGGGACTGGACTGGGTCCGATTTGGGCTGATCTGGGTCTTTGGGCTGTACAGGCCCGGTGGGAGGCCTCAGGTATTCAGTATTAAATAAGGGCTAGCTGCTAATGATAATCTCAGAAGTCAAGCTGAAGACTGGTGGGCAGAAGTTGAGCATTTAAAGGCTGTTAGAGTGCTTGCCACTTTGAGAAGACTCACATGAGAGGCTCTCTTAGGTATTGGTTTGGCTCCAAGAAACCCAAAGGCCTAGCTAAAAGAAATGGGATCCTTTATATCCAGAGCTCTGCCTTCCCACATGCTTGCTTATTTTATGTTTAAGAACTCTGGTCCCAGAAGCTTCAGGGATCTAGCAAAATGGCAAAATTTTACTAAAAAATAACCTAGAATTACAATGACCATTATGGGGAACGTTCCAGTCAGAGAGATCACTCATGTAAGAAATGCACTTGAGAGGAAGAGGGTCCCAAGTCCAACAGACAGAACGGGATGCCTACTTAATTGGTACGCAGAAGCCTCCAAAAGGTTTATAGATTCCAAAATGGCTTCATTGAACTACTTCATTACAAAAGGCCAATGAAAAATTAGAGACACAAGAGGTACCTAAAATAAAAGACAATAGGACTGAGGTTACTCCTACTGCTCCTATCCTTTTTTACCTAAGAACTCATGTTGTATTAATCCTCTGTCCAAACATCCTTTCCACTCTGAAGAGACTATTGGACAGTTACCTTTTAAAATAGAAAGACTCAAGGTTGCAAACAAACCTCTCAGGTATCTGTCTCCCGTTGGTCAAAGACTGAACTAGTGGCCATAATTAAAGAACTTCCTAAACCTACGGAGGAAGACCAAATGTTTTTTGAAGAATCTGAGTCATCATCAGGGCCCCCGACCCCAGCTGCCAGGTCTTCATCAGCATGTACACGTGTTGGTAGGACTGCTGAAGTCCAAAAATGGAGGCGGGAAGCAAGACAGCAAAACCCCATGGATGGTATTCGAGATCCTTGGTCTTCAAAATCTCAGGGGCCACAAGAAGCTCACAAAAGAGCAGCCAAACGTTGACAAGCCATTCCTAGAGACTTCAGTTATAACTAAACGTCTCCCTAAATTACCTCACTAACCATTAAAGCCTGAAACTGTACAAGGCCTCACATTCACAGAAGACCTAATTGCCCCGGGGCTAATCATCCCTTGTACCAGTTCCTGCCACACCCGACCTCGCCAGTCTGGAAACCTCATGGACGGGATGCTGATTTTTCCAGGATTTCAGAGCTATTAATAAGACAGTGATTCCCCATCCCAGTCATTCCAAACCTCAACACCCTTCTGTCACACGTTCTACCAGACTCCAAAAGGTTCACCGCGGTGGATCTGTTCAGCCTTTTTCAACACCCCTGGTGACCCCTGTAGCCATATCTATTTGCCTTACTTGAACTGTCAACACTCTACCTGGCCAGTCATGCCTCAGGAATTCATGAGGTCGCTTCTTACTTCTCTTGAGCACTTCACGAAGATTTAAGCAACACTCCAGTTCCTTGGGAAATCCACCCTTTTGCAATATGTAGATGACCTCTTGCTACTTTCAGCCTCCAAAAAGGAGTCCAAAAAGATTCCATCTATTTGCTAGAGCAGTTAGCTGAAAAGGGACACAAAGTCTCTAAGAGAAAATTACAGTTACCTCTAGACACGGTTCATTACCTGGGTCATTACCTAAGCCCTGAAGGACTTCAGCTGTCTCCCAAAAGAATTAAGCTAATCCAGGAATTTCCGACACCCCACAACTAGGTGACAGATCCGTGGATGACTAGGCTTGACTGGTTATTGCAGATGATGGGCTCCTAATTTTTCGCTATTAGCTAACCCACTCTATGAACTTACCAAAATTTCAGTCCCTGAACACTTTTCTTGGGAAGACAAACGTGAGCAGGCTTTCAGGAGACTGAAAGAAGCACTGTAAGAACCGCCTGCCATAGGGCCACCTAATTGTGCAGAACCTTTCACCTTATTTGTGCAGGAAAGGGGTAATCAAGCCCTGGGAACGCTCACTCAAGAGCAGGGTAGTAAACAGAGGCCTATTACCTAGTACAGCACACACCTTGATTCAGTTGCTCTTGCCTATCCCAGCTGTCTTAAGGCCACAGAGACAGCAGCAAAATGAGTGGCAGTCTCGTCAGATTTGACCCTGTCCGAAGTCCTCTTAAGTCAGAATCGACTCAGCCTTTCTTGCAGGTAGACTAACTTCCTATGAGATCCTCCTGCGTCCACCGCCTCATCTGTGTCTTAAACATCACAACACTCTTAGTCCTGCTACATAACTACCTCTACCTGAGGAGGCTGAGTCCGTGACTACAAGGTACTAATGTCCTGTTTTGTGATAGCAGGTCCTGATTTATGAGATACTCCTTTAACTACTCCTGATCTAGAATCTTTGTGGATGGGTCATACCGTAGAAATGAAAAAGGGGACTTTCAAGCTGGCTGTGCTACTCCTACCCAAGATGACCTACTCGAGAGAGGAAACCTTCCCTAAGCTCCATCCACACGACAGCCAGAGCTCCGTGCCCTTACCTGAGCATGCCAGCTATCAGGAGGACAAACTTAATATTTATACCGATAGCCAGCATGTCTTTGGAGTCGTCCATGACTTAGGGATGTTACAGAAACAAAAGGGCTCTCTTATGTCCTCTGGGACTCAAACAAAAATGGGCAACAGGTAAATGATCTTCTTACTGCTAGTCTCTTACCTCCTGAAATTGCTGTCATCAAAACTGAGGCTCACACTGAGAGACTGAAACCTGAGTGTCAGGGAAATGCCCCGGCTGACTTTTGTGCAAAGGCAGCAGTAAATAAATCTATAAAGACTGTGGCACGTGGATGAAATCCATTCTGCTTCTGCAAAAAAATGCCCCCTCCTCGCCAGATTTTGGCCATCCTGGTATCCTTGTAACATGGCAACAGTCTGTACCTGAATCAGAAAGTAAGATGGGTAAACAGGGGCTGTAAATGAAATGAACAGTTGGGGCTATGGGAAACTCAGGACAGCGGCTTGGTTCTTCCTGGCTCCCTGACAAACCCCACTCTTTGGTTTTTGCATTACTGAACCCATTGCAGGGCTTTTAAGATGAACTCAGATTACGAACTGACATTGGTGGGGAAACTTCTATAAAACTGCAAAAACAGTCTGCAGCAATGTCTGACGGGCCAGGTTCATAATCCTAGAGAAACTGTTTTTGTTTCCAAAGGCCTCAGACCTCCTCCCTCTGGACCCTCGGGACACCTGCAGCTGGACTTCATTCAACTGCTGCTTAGCTCGGGTCTTCAGTCTGTTCTGTTACTTGTGTGTGCTTTCTGGATGCGTGCAAGCCTTCCCCTGCTACAAGGCTGATGTCCTCATGATGGCAAAGAAACTGTCAGAGAATGTGTTTCCCACTTGGGGGATACCTTCCACAACCTCCAGCCATCCAGGCACCCACTTTACTTGGAAAATCACAGGAGGCTTAATGAAAACCTTGCAAACGTTTAGGAATTATCATTGTCTTTATCACCTGGAATCATCAGGCGAGGTTGAGAGAACTAATGGGATCCTCAAACTTAACATTTCTGAACTTGCTGAAATCATGGGACTCCCCTGGCTTAAGGTATTACTTTTGCTCTCCCTGTTTGCAGCACCTCCTTTGGGAAACATAAACTCAGTCCACAGGAGATAGTCACCATCAGACCAATGTCTTATACAACCTTCTGCTGATCCCTTGTCTCATGCTAGTATGACCAGCTACTGTACCTCTTTACTGTCTGATGCTCAAGCATATCATCAACAGATTAAGGAAGATTTAATCTGATCCCAGTTCAAGGCCACAGTCTAGAGTCTGATGATTGGGTATTCCAGAAGCATCATCAAAGAAAGACAGCCCTTGAGCCCCATTAGAAGGGCTGACCACTCCTGACAGTGGTACTTCTGACCACTGACACTGCTACAAAACTAGAGGGTATTGAGCCCTGGATACACAGCCCACAGCTAAAGAAGCCTCCACTTGTCATCTGGTCCTGTACAGATGCTGGAGAACTCTGGATCACATAGGTGAGGAAGAGAAGTATCTGGCACCAAAGTAGACTGCTTCTACCCAAGACTCTGATTAATACCTCATACTTTGACTAAACATGAAACCCCTTCTTCTTCTTTTTTCATTAGTCTAACATTGGCCAGGAAAGATAATTCCATCGTCTGTATCTCCCAATCCATTGCTAAGGGAGGCAAACTTGCAGATTACTGGATTCGTCATGATGCAAGAGACCCCCTGGTCCTCCCTGTGACCAATTTCTCTTATATTCCCATGTCACCACAAACTACAGTTGACCCCTGCTTAGAAGCAGGTACCCAAGTAGACACATCTACTCATGTGCATCTTTGTATATTTGCACCCCCACAGGCCCATGATTATATCGAGATCAGATCTGCCCCCACTCACCAAGAGATCTCACCAGCAGGACCCATCTTTGTCAGGCACTTAGGATGACTTTTTATTTCAGGTTAGACAGTTCTCTTCCCATATGCACTAAAAACCTGACTGACCTCTGGTGTAGGAGTAAATACAAATGAGACTATGATCAGAAACTTCTTAACTCTTGGAGACATTGCAGATTCCATTGCTAAGACCCTAGTTGCCCAGCAAAGATCCTTAGACTTTCTGGCCACAGTTGTCCTTGATAACAGGATTATCTTTTGGCTGGGCAAAGAGGTGTCTGTGCTATGGCCAACACCACATGCTGCATGCACCTAGATTAACACTTCTGGGGAAGCTGAAACTCAGTTACATAAAATCACTGAGCAAGCCACTTGGCTTAAAAGGATGACTCTTACAACTGGGTCATTCTTTGACTGGTTTGGTCTCGGGAACCATGGCTCCAAAGTGCACTCCAAACATTGGGAATGATCCTGCTTATGGTTATCGTAATAATCTCCCTGGTGTGTTCCGTTCTCTCAAAAGCTTGAAATGCATGTTTGTAGCCGCTTATCACCAAGCAAATGATCTCCCTAAGACTGGAACATCAAAAAAGAGACGAAGAGAATGGCTGGCTAAACGACTGTGAGCCTGAAGTCATGACCTGTGAACACCACAGCGATTCATCAAAAGAAATGAGATCAACAGGAGCTTTTGGGACAGACCACCAGCTGAGAGTAGTACTAATGCCTTCAATTTTGATCACACCTCTCCGTTCAGCTGACAGGTTCATGAAGGGGACCAGGGGAGGGGGGAGTGTTGAAAAGAAACAACAGGTCCAAAATGGAGTCACTTATGTTAAGCCCCACCGAGATTTAATACCTAATCTAATTGCAGTTTCAGCCTCTCCCACGAGTGGAATTTTAAACCAGTCAGTCTAGAATTTCCTGATGAGCACTAGGGAGGTACTCTGCATAAGATCCCTGCCCTTCCACCTAAGAAAGGTGACCTTGCCTGGAACAAACTTTTCTTTTGCAATAATTTCCTTGACCCACTCCATTTCTGCCTATAAAAGCCTTCCATTTTATGCAACTCCTTGGAGCACACTTCCAGTTATTAGACAAGATGGTGCCCAATTCGAGAGTCACTGAATAAGGCTAATTACCACCTTTAAACTTACTTGGTTGAATTTTGTTCTTTAATAGATTTTAACTTCAAAGGCCATGACAATCAAAAAAGATTTGATCCAGTCCCAACATCTTTGGGGTATTTATGTATCCTTTTGGTTTTACCTTTCATTTATTTGAATTTTAAAATTGGATGGATAAGTTTATGTCATTGTAACTCAGTTCTTTAATACCATTTCACCTTCCAAATGAACTCAACCAAGAATAGAGAAACTCATGTGTTCCCAGCAAGATAGCCATGTCATCATAGTGACTGGCTATCAACAACCCATCACTCCTGTGTCTTTATCAGCAACCCATCACTCCTGTGTCTTATGAATTGGGATGCCATAGTCAGGTGCAACTAAAGTGCACAGGGTAATTCAATCTTCAGGAATTACAAGAGTGTGATTTATAAACATCATTATGGAACAATCCCATTGTTTTGACTCCTCCCTGTGCCTAAGCTGTCAGGTAAATAATCTTTTACTGTAATAGATAACCATATTTCCAAAATCTAAACATTACTTCTTTTTCATGAGCTTACTGTCACCATTCTGGCAAACATCTTTACTCACTTTTGCCATCAAAATGGAATATTTTTGTAAAATTCCTTAAGCCTTTAAGAATATATTTCTTAAAAAAGAACTTCTAAGACACCTTAAAACAATAAGTTTTGTAACCATTTTTGTTTTTCAATATTTAATTCATTGAGAATTGTTCATTCGTTTTGTTATTTTTTAAGTACAACGGTAATAGTTTTATGTATGAAATTCACATAAACTTAGATATTTTGCTCCAAAAAAACATACACCAAGAAATTCTACTGAACATTATTTACATTATTTATAGGCTTATATAAGTATCTTGTGCTTATAAATTTCTGTCATGCCCCACATCTGAAAACAAGAATTTCATACCCACTACTAGAAAAGATAAAAATGACCATCCTTCCCGTCTCAGCTTTCCAATCTAAAGGAGGCAATCAATGAGTGATTACTGAATGAATGAGTAGGCAAATTTGAACAGCATTTTACTTTTTTCCAAAGCGTTTTCACATCAGTATCTGGGAGAAGTTTTGGACCTGTTGTAAAAGAGAAGAGGTTCACAAATATTCTTATCAGAGTTCTGTTCAGGTGTTGCATCATTATTTCCAAATTTCCAGGACTATGGTGAGTATCTTCTTTCTGTTAGGCACTTGTACACAAGAGTTGGGCAGACACAGAGTTTATCTGCAGTAACGTTAGAGAACATCCTTGTTACCTGTGTTTGCTGCTTTGTGATATCAATCAGTGCTTATTAACCTTTGCCCCTTTTCTTTCAGCCAGACTCTACAACTCTGCTGAACTGCATAAAGACGTTTCCCGAATGTAATTCTGAATTCTTTAACATTCATCCATTGCTGACAAAAACAAGCTTCACATTTAGTTACTCAACGAACCCATGATGTTATATCCATTCTAAGCAGAGAGGTGGTCCTAGCGGGTCACATCACCCTTTGAACAGCCAATTTATTCATAGAATTAATTGTTCCAAGAATGCTAGGAATACAATGAGTGGTTGTCCCATCTTTAGAGACGGTGTGTCTACCACAAAGCCAGGAGATTCCAAGTCTTACTTATTACACATACAATGTACTTATTACACATACATATACAATATAATGGCTTGGCTTTCTCATTGCTGAGGTCAACATGCAAGCTGGAAGACCTTCTGGAGCCTATGTCTCACCCAGAGACTCTGGTTTCAATATGAAATACCAGGTTCACTGTGATAATCTTTAGATCAGATGATCAAATCTCAGTATATACACATACCTGTTCCTGCAGCTCCTTTTTAAAATTGTCGTCTTGAGCTTTACATGAGACCTTGGGGTCAACCAAAGGTTCATCTGCTCTTTGCCTTTTCCACAACTTGGTGTTCAGATACCATGCTCCATACCTCATCTTCACACACTTTGGTTTATGAGGATTCTACAGAAAATAACATTATTCCCAATTTCATTTGTTTTTTTATGCTTGTCATTTCAATACGTTGAAGATTTAGCTTATGAAAGCAGTAGCATTTATTTTTAGCTTATGATTGATCCTTGCCAAAGTATTTTATGAAGTTTCAGTATGCTTTGATTTACAAAGGTACCTTGAAAAGTTCATGAACGAGAAAATAATGTGATGGTTAAGTATGGTCTTTGGACTTAGACAAACGTGGGTTCAAAACCAGCCTCCCCTACTGAGTAGCTATGAGTCCACAGGCAAATTATTTAATTCTTCATCTGTAAAATGGAGATAATAGTATCCACTCCATAGGGTTGTAGTAAAGATTAAAGGAGAAAGTTATGTAAAGCAGTTAGAAATCATATAAAAATCACATATTTCACTGAAGGATAATGACCTTAAACAATACTGAGCCAACCGGGGCGCCTGCGTGGCTCAGTCGGTTAAGTATCTGACTCTTGATTTCAGCTCAGGTTGTGATCTCAGGGTCGTGGGATCCAGCCCCATGTCAGGCTCATCGCTCAGTGGGGAGTCTGCTTCTCTCCCTCTTCCTCTTCCTCTGCCCCTCCCCCTGCTCACAATGGTCCCCATCTCTCTGTCTCTCTCTAAAATAAATAAATCTCAAAAAAACACCAATACTCAGTCAACCAAAATAATGAGTTATAGACTTACTATGAGCCCAGCACTGTGTTCAGCCTTGTAAATGCTACACTACTTACAAAATGCTATCCAGCAACAGCAACAACAACAAATATGCTATCCAACACTACTCTCGTGCCTCCAATTGGAAGAGAGAAAGAGAAGGAAGAATAAATGTCATTTCTTTCTTTCTCCCATTCCTCAGTAGTGAATGAAGGATGTAAAGATATCATAGCCTGAGAGTGTGGATGTAATGCCCACACACTCAGCAAGGCAAAGATGTGAAACCACAAAGATTCTGCCCCTCTCTCTTCTCACTCACACTTAAACCTGAGGCAGAATGTGTGAGTCATTCCAGAGTCAAGGCAGATATTCCTTATCTAAACCAGAGAGGATGGGACAGAGCAGAACGGGGGGGGGGGGGGCAGGGAGGGGGAGTGAGCCCTTCTCAGAGCTGAATTCAGCGTTTTGATGCCTCCATTTCAAGCATATTGTTTAAAAATTGTAACCACCTCAAAACACTCCTTGTTTTCCTTCCCTGCCTCACTTTTCTTAACAGTACATATCACCAGTTGATATGCTATATAGTCTTCCGATTGCTTGTCTCTCCTTTCATCCTCTAAAATGTAAGCTTCAGAGATTGTTCCCGGATACAACCCTCTGGCGTCTAGAACAATATTTTGGACATAACAGGTGCTCAATAATATTTGTTGAATTAAAATTTATTGTTTAACTTGGCATTATTAATACTTTGAGCTGGATAATCCTTTGTTGGGGGGTCAGGGAGGGTGCTCTCCTAAGCATTGTAGGATGTTTATTTCTTTTTTTTAACTTTTAGAAAAGATTTCACTTATTGGGGCACCTGGGTGGCTCAGTCGGTTAAGCATCTGCCTTTGGCTCAGGTCATGACCCCAACTTCCTGAGATCAAGCCCCGCCTCAGCGGGAAGCCTGCTTCTCCCTCTCCCTCTGCTTGCCTGCCTGTCTACTTACTTGTATCTCTCTCTCTCTGTCAAATAAATAAATAAAACCTTTTAAAAAAAGATTTCACTTATTTATTTGTCAGACAGAGAGTGAGCGCACAAGCAGGGGGAGTGGAAGGAAAGAGAAGGGAAAAAAGAAGGAGGGGATGAAATCTATACTACTGTTACACTGCAGATCTGAGTTCTGACATATGTTATGTTGTTGGGTGACTAGTAATCTTTCAAGACTCAGTACAAACATAATTTCTTCTGTGAGGGCTTCACTGAACCCACCCTCACCCCGTGCTTGCTGGAATTGATTACTTCTTCCTAGGTCTCTATGAACCATGACATCACTTCATTATAGTTAATCGTTTACCTGTTGACCCAACTAGCTGTAAGCTCCTTAAGTGCAGGAAACAAGCCTTTGTCTCTGCTCCTTCATTTGTACCCAGCACTTTTTGGCACGTAGCAGTAGAAAATCAGAAATGTTTGTTGAGGGATTGCATAGACAAATGGACGAATGAATACACAGGGCAAAGAGAGATACGCTGCAGCAGGGACACAGACTGCTGGGGGAGATGAGAAGTAAGACTGAATGCATGTCAACCAAGGGACCTGAAAAATCTCCATGGAAAAACTGGCATACGACCTGGGTCTAGAGGGAGATACGAGAAGGTAGACGTGGGAAGAGGGGCACTTCAGGCAGAGAGAATACTATGAGCACAGGTAAGGTTGGGGAAAAGCTCAGGGTTTTAAAGAAGACCAAAGAGCAATGTAGCAGGCCTAAGAGTATGTGGGATACAAATAAAGATGGGGATTTCCACCTCTGGAATAGGGATCAGATTTACCGTCCCACATGCAGCAGCCAGAAAGTACAAGTCAGTATAAATATAAATATAAATAAAATATACACACACATATAATGGTTTATAAGACACTAGACATCAAATAACAAGTAGGATGTGCTCTCTGTCACTATCTCTGTCTCTCTCAAATAAATAAAATTTATTTTTATTTAAATTAAAAAAAAATTTTAAAGATTTTATTTATTTGAGCCAGAGAGAGAGAACACAGAGGGAGAGGGAGAGGGAGAAGCAGACGCCCCGCCGAGCAGAGAGCCTGCCACGGGGCTCGATCCCAGCACCCCAGGATCATGACCTGAGCCGAAGGCAGATGCCCAACCTAAGCTGACTGAGCTGCCCAGGCGCCGGCCCCAGTCCACTGTCTTGAGAGACTTTCCAGGCCACAGAGCAGGGAGACACTCAGGAGGAGACCAGCAGACTCTCCGAGTTGAGGAGACAGAATTGAGAGACCAGACCAGCTTTAAAAATGAAGGCAGAATAAGGATATTTTCAGACATACAAAAGCTGAAGGAATTAATCACTGGCAGATCATTACTAGAAGCAGGATTAAAGGAGGTCCTACAGGCAGAAGGGAAATGACACCATATGGAAATGTATTTGAACTTTCACATAGTGACCCTCTGTCTGCCAGTCAAAAGGTCAGTTTTGGCAATAACCACAAGGGCCTATAAAGCAGCAGTTGTGCAATGATTTGTACATACGGGGAATTGAGCAATTTGATTCAGCCCAGATTCAGGGCAAGCTGTGGTTCAGGCCTCAGGTGTGATGGACATAATATGCCTGTCCAACATCACTGTGCATTTTACGCTTTAGAAAGATGAGGAGCAAATGGAAAATTTTAAGTGCTGATATTAGTGTTGGAATGCATAGTTTTCATAAACCTTATGCAACAGAGCCAAGGATGGAAAACATCACATGTAAAAACAGGTCAGTCCACTGTGTTTAGATATAAAGGACAAAGTTACTATGTTTAGATGTTAGAAATATAGTATCAAAGATCACATGTAAAAGACAGAGGGTAGAGATAATATATTCTTTTTCACTTTCAGGGAAAGGAACTTCCTCACACCCACACCCACCCCGGACCACCACTTAGGTACTTAAATCTGTTGTTGGACTTGGGGCATGTGGGTGGCTCAGTTGGTTGAGCTTCGGACTCTTGGTTTTGGCTCAGGTCAGGATCTCAGGGTCATGGGATCGAGCCCCATGTCAGGCTCTGTGCCCAGCACAGAGTCTGCTTCAGATTCTCTCTCCCTCCTGCTCTGTCTCTCTCAAATAAATAAATGAGTATGTAAATAAATAAATAAATAAATAAAATCTTTAAAAACAATGTGTTGTTGGACTGATACAATTTGATCCATGTGCATATGTATTTGCAGCCGTATGTCATATAGGAAAGTAGAAAAGCACTTAAAAGTCCATTCTGCTTCCCTTTGGAACACAGCTTGTTTCTTCTCCTCTGTTTCCTTGTTCTTCTACCTCATGGGCCAGTGGTATTGAAAAACTGAGCAATTTGTTAATAATTGGCAAGCACGTGCTCAAGAATGCGGTCAACAAGACTCCCCCCAAAATTCATGAATTCTTTGGACAAAGAATAAACAACTTTAATGATCATTAACTGCAGCATTTAACTCTTGGACTAATAAACTTTCATCTATATTTCCATCAACTGTTAGAATTCCAACATATAAAACACAGAGAGAGGATTTCAACATATAAACACATAGAGAAAACAATGAATATTCAGATACTAACAATAATGCTGGGGGCGCCTGGGTGGCTCAGTCAGTTGGGCGTCTGCCTTCGGCTCAGTTCGTGATCTCGGGGTCCTGGGATGGAGTCCCGCATCATCGGGCTCCCTGCTCAGCAGGGAGCCTGCTTCTCCCTCTGCCCCTTCCCCCTGTTTGTGCTCTCTCTCTCATGCTTTCTCTCTCAAATAAAAAATAAAATCTTAAGAAAATTATGCTGAATGGCATGCCTTGTTTATATAACTAGCTTATTATGTATATCAAATATTCATTGATTTAACAAATATTTATTAAACACCAAAAAAAATTCAAGAATTCTACTGAAAAAGGCCAGTGCCCCCCCCGAAATACCAGAATTCAAGAACATTTAAGATTTTAATCCAACTTAATTTTCTTTGATTTTCAGTCTTCTCTTTCGTCAATTACCTGTGGTTTCTGGTGTTTCTGCTCATAGTCGTCTAGTTTCTGGAAAAACTGTGGCTCCTGCAGTTTCTTTGACCCCACTCTCTTCTTTAGCTCTAGAGGAGTCTGGTTGAGTCTCATCGTGTGGAGCACATCATGGCTTGGTTTGCTCTGATAGTCAATGTCAAACTGTTTCAGGATGAACTCTTCATCAATGTTTGAACTTCCCTGGAAGAATATCACATTGCATGAATCAAAGACGAACGGTGAAATTCTTCTTTAATCTAAAGGAGGCATTTTACTATGGCTAGAGAAGAGGTAGTTTGGAGGAGAGGTAGAAAATGCTCAGACAGCATTCACTGGGGACAAGAAGTATTTGGTTCTGGAGAACTTTGTCAGTGTATTAAGGAACAACTTAGGACCAGCCAGAAGCAGTGAGTCCCTGAGGGAATTAATGGGCTGAGAAAAATTCAGTCTGTTTAATCCTAAACAAACCTGAGTGCATAAAGATGTGGTATACACACACACACACACACACACACACACACACACACACACACACACA